CTAGCCTTGTCCTGTTTGTTCTTTGCTTCCCTCACTTCCCAGTGTCGGAAATGATCCCAAAAGTCTCTTGTCTTGACATGATTTTCCTAACTTCCGTTTGCAGCCCGGTAACAAACAGCTGAATGGAGGAACAAACGTATCTTGCCTGGTGATGGACACAAAGTTTGGCACTGGAACTTCAAAACACAGGATTTCAGCCACACTGAGGCTCCAGGGAGGTCTTGGAGCCACTTCCAGGGCCTAAAGGGGCTCCAGGAGAGCTGAAGAGGGACTGGGGACAAGGGATGGAGGGACAGGACACAGGGAATGGCTTTAAGCTGAAAGAGGATAAATTTAGATGGGATATTGGGAAGGAATTCCTGGCTGGGAGGGTGGGGAGGGACTGGAATGGATTTCCCAGAGAAGCTGTGGCTGCTCCTGGATCCCTGGAAGTGTCCCAGGCCAGGCTGGAGCAACCTGGGCTAGTGGAAGGTGTCCCTGCCCATGGCAGGGGGTGGAATGGGATGATCTCCAAGGTCCTTCCATCCCAACTCATTCTGGGATTTAAAGGTAAAGACCCTCAGGATCCCACCTGCAGGAATCTCTTTATCTGACTGGTTCTTAGGTTGTGTTGTCCCAAAGAGTGAGGGTGGAGATGGACTGTTCTCCAAATACTCCAGACTTCACTTCAGCACCTCCTGTGCCTTGTTCCAGTTTTCCCCAGACCTGACTCCCAAAGCCTTCCAGCTGCTCCAAGCTGGAATGGGATCTCGGAGGGGGGAAGACGAAACAAGGGCCGTGGTTTGGACACCCAACCCCTGGGACACCAAGGATGAGGAAGCTCAGCTGGCTCTGCTGGTGAACTTATCACCAACTTGCCACTGTGGCACCCAAATTAAAGTGCCAGGGAGCAAAAATGTGGGAAATATGGAAACGGGGCACGTCTGTGTCACCAAAAATCAAATGTGGCTCCCTCGTGTCACCAAAAACATGTCCAGTCATGTCTGAGGGATTGGTTGTTCTCTGCTGACCCCACACCTTGGCTTGTCCCAAAAGGGTTTCCGTGCCCAAAGGTGTCCAGAAAGGTCCTTGGTTGAGTCCCCAATCTCCCAGAAACCCTGGTTTGGAGAAAAAGAAGCCTGGATTCTTCTTGATTTCCACAAGACCTTGTTTCAAAGACTTCATCAGCACCTGCTTAAGAACAGTGATTTAATCCTTCTGTGTTTCAAGTCCCCCTCTGAGGACCGAGGGTGATGCAACACTTTATATCCAGGGATTCATCCCAAATTGTGTTTCCAAGCCCATTTCCCGCAGCACCTGACTCGGCAAAGCCATTGGATAAGGATGGGAAGCAACCAGCTCCTTGCATTTAAAAGTGACAAATAATTCGACGTTTTCCTTTCCCTTCCGAGAGCTTTTGATTCAATTCAGGATAATTAAGCAAAGTGACTTAAAAGAAACACCAGATGTTGCACTGAGAGTCCCCCAGACATTCCAACCCAATAATGCCAGAGCTGGATCCATCATTAGTTACCCCTTGATTAATCCAAACCCCATCAAAGCCTGTTCAAAGCCTCCCAGTGCCTTCCAGGGGGTTTGAAACGTTCCCAAAGCAAACAAAGCTGGCAGGACAAAAGAAATGTGGAGAGACAGGAGACACACAAAGACCAAAGAGAGATATTGGGAGTCTGCTAATCAGGAGGCAACTTTATCCCTTGGAATCACACCAAAAACATGGATGTTTGGAGATGTGAACTAATTCTGAAGGACAGGAGCAGCCTGTTGGCTCCTGAGGGAGGAACACCGGGCAGCTCTTCCCACACAAAAAGCCCTGGACTGGCTTTTCTTCCATGGAATCCTGTGCTCTCAGTTCTAGGATCAAACCAGGAGCTTTCAGACAGTTATGGGATCAAACCAGGAGATCTCAGACAGTTATGGGATCAAACCAGGAGATCTCAGACAGTTATGGGATCAAACCAGGAGATCTCAAACAGTTCTAGGATCAAACCAGGAGCTCTCAGACAGTTATGGGATCAAACCAGGACTTCTCAGACAGTTATGGGATCAAAGCAGGAGCTCTCAGACAGTTATGGGATCAAAGCAGGAGCTCTCAGACAGTTATGGGATCAAACCAGGAGATCTCAGACAGTTATGGGATCAAACCAGGAACTCTCAGTTATGGGATCAAACCAGGAGCTCTCAGACAGTTATGGGATCAAAGCAGGAGCTCTCAGACAGTTATGGGATCAAACCAGGA